AAACGGTGTCGTACCAGGCCGCGACGAATTTCAACCCCAATAGAATAGAAATAATGTAACTTCTATATGTAAAAAATTTGCTGTGATCCAAAACTAAATAAAACAATAATCAAACAGAAATAATATAGCTTCTATATGTGTTGATAAAATTAATATTATAAAAATTAATTATGATCCACAACTAAACTAAACTAAACAATAATCAAGCTTAAATAAAATAACTTTTATATGCGTGAACAAAATTAATTGTACTTGGATAACAGAAACCAAATTTATCAAGTTGTTAATCAATTACAGAAACTAGTTTGAAAAAAGATAAGAGAAATTAAAAATTTAAAGAAAAAATTCAATTTACTGATTTTTTTTTTTTTTTTTTTTTTTTAATTTGTTGTCAAGTTTCTAATCAATTATTAAAAAATCTCATAATAGAGAAAAATTTGCTAATCAATTATTAAAAAAAATTAAAACAGAGAAAAATAATTGAAAAAAATTCATAATAAAGAAAAGTTAACATACTGAATTTTTTCAAAAAAAAATCCCAAATTTGTGTGGAATAGAAAAAGTAACAGAACCCTAATTAAAAATCCTAAAATTGCACTTAAACCAAAAAAAAAAAAAAAAACTAAAGAAGAAAACCATAATCCAAATAAACTTACCAGATGAAACATAATTGCGGGGAAGATCGGATAGGATCCTATCCAATAAAAAATAAATAAAATACTTTCATGATACTTTTGAAATAATAAAAAAAATGAATAACAATACAAATTAAATTTATAAGATCAACCATTATTGTTACCAACCAAACATAAAACACACATAAAAAATAAAATATTTTTATGATGCTTCTTAAAAAAAAAAAATGGAAAAAAAATAATAATTCTATATAACTTACCGGATCAACCTTGTGAGAAAAAAATAAAATAAAATAACCAATTACAAAGAGAAAAGGGGCAGGTATGGTACACGTAAAAGTAAAAGGTATATATAATAAAAAATCATTTTATTATTTCCAACAATTTCTATTTTATTTTAATTGGTAAGTTGTTTTAGCCGTCAAAATATAATATGGTTTATTTTAATTGGTAATTTTTAAAATGTTTAATAGGGTTTATTTTAATTAAAAATCCCAACTTTGTACCGAGAAAATGTAACATACTAAAACAATCCATACTTTGTATGAAATAGAAAAGGTAACAGAAACCTAATTAAAAATCATAACTTTGCACTCACAATTTTTTATTCTTCACTCTCGTGATTCTTCTTTCTCTCGATTCTTTTGCACTTACAATTTTTTATTCTTCTCTCTCGTGATTCTTCTTTCTCTTGATTCTTTTTCAGCTACGCTGCAAACCCTAGAAGCAAAACAATAACAACTTTAGAAGCAAAACAAAGAAAATAAATTGAAAGTAAGAGAAATCAAAACTTAAAAAATTCAAGTTACATAAAAATATAAAATACAAAATAAATCACAATACAAACTAAATTTACAAGATCAACCATTGTTGTCCCCAATCAAACATTAAACAAAGAATAAAAAATTAAAACACTTTCATGGTGTTCCTAATAAAATAAAAAATAAAAACTAAAGAAGAAAAACATAATCCTAATGAATTTACCAGATGAAGCATGATTGGTGCTATCGCCTCCTAGGAGAAAAATCTAAATACTAATTACAAAGAGAAAAGTAGCAGAGAAAAATCTAAATACTAATTACAAAGAGAAAAGTAGCAGATATAGTAAAGGTAAAATACGGAATAAAAAATAAACAAACTCCTTTCATGATACATTGTAAATAATAAAAAATAAATAACAATACAAACTAAATTTACAAGACCAACCATTGTAGTCACAAACCAAACACAAAATAAAAAATAAAATACTTTCATGATGCTTTTGAAAAAAAAAAAAAATCATAATCCTATCTAACTTACTGGATCAAGCACGTTGCCGCCCTGTGAGAAAAAAAATCCGGAAAACCAATTACAAAAAGAAAAGGGCAGGTATGGTAGACGTAAAAATAAAACATATAATAAAAAACCAATTTTTTCTTTTCAATAATTATCTATTTTATTTTAATTGATAACTTGTTTTAGTTGTTTTAGACTTGAAATTTTTCGAATATAATATGATTTATTTTTATTGGTAACTTTTAAGAGTATAATATGATTTATTTTAATTGGTAACATAATAGGGCATGTATGGTAGACATTGCTATTTATGTGTCAAATATAATGGGACCCATATTAAAATACAAGGTAATCAACTATTTAGAAAGTTGTAGACCTTTTTTTTTTAGGTTTCATCTCTTAATCTAAGTATATTTGTTGGCAATTAAAATTTCAATCAGTATGGATATCAAATTCTGTATCTATTATATATATATATACATATATATATATATACACACACACACACATCACATTGCATCTCTGGAAAAACTCTTGAGATACTTCGAACATTTCCTATATATAATTAGATTGTGTATCCCTTGTTATATAAAAAATATTTTGTCTTTCTTTGATCATTATTATATATCAACTACTTTGATAGACATTTATTAATTGCTATAATGATTAAATATGACATCTATTGACTCCCTGAAACAAAAATAAGGAGACAAATTTTAAAATTTTTTTGCAAAGTATTGAAAAATTGTAAAAAAATATTGTAATTTTTACCATGAAACTTGAAAAGAAGAAGAATATGATGATACAAAAATAAGGAAGGGGAAATAGACTTAAGAGTCAAAGCCCAGCGCCGGCTGATTCCCTCTTGGCGAGCTAACCGGCATTAGGAAGGAAAGAGATAAGGAACTCGTGATGTGTGTGCTATTCTAGGTAAGCTGACCGCGAGTTTTTTAAAGTTGAATTTTAGAATAATCACGTCATATCGGTTTTAAGTCGAGAGTTTTAAAGGAGTAAAAATATAATTTTTCATAAATAAGTAATAAAATAAATCATATTATACTATTTAAAGTTATGAAGTAAAATAATAGGTAGTTGTTAAAAAGAAGAAATTGGTTTACAACAAAGATTACAATGCTTTTTTTTACAATTTTTCAATACTTATGCAAAAAAAAAAAAAAAAATTCGTTTCCTTATTTTTGTTTCTAGGAGTCAATAAATCATATGTTTGATCATTATAACAATTACCAAATGCTTATCAAAATAATTGATGTATATTAATGATCAAAGACACAATATTTTATATATAATGAGAGATACACGATCTAATTACACATAGGAGATGTCTATCTCAAAAGTTCTTACAGAGATGCAATGCCCTATATATATATATATATATATATATATATATATATATATAATAGATACACAATTTGATATATATGGTGACTGAAACTTTAATTGTCAACAAATATATTAGATTAAGATGAAACCCAAAAAAAGGTCTACAACTTTATAAATAGTTGATTAACTTATGGACAATACATAGTCCTCATTAATGAGAATTTACAACTACTCACCGTCCATGTAGATCAATCATAAATACACATGTGATCTTTAATTATTAAATCACACATGGTGAGTAGATATTCACTTACCAAATCAGAGATAGTGATTCACATTAGCAATGAGTATATTGTATATTTTCACTAGTGAGGACCTAAGTATTGTCTTTACTTTATATTTTATTACTGGTCCCATTATATTTGACATATAAATAGTCACATAGACTCGATGACATAATAATTTTTTATTTGTCGGACTAAATAGCAGGACTCTTTATTTATAGGGCACATGTTCATCTAATAAAAAATCAATTTATTCTTTCCAACAATTACCTATTACTTTACTTGATAACTTTTAAGAGGAGTAGTGATCTCTTGCTCTTCGTAACGATCATTATAGAAATCTTACATCATTTCCTTTTAATACAAAACCATGGTTACTATTTTAGTTTCTAAATTTAATATTACCAATACCATCAATTACAACAATAAAAGGTAATTACCCTCTAAAAAAAATTGAAACCTCTTCACCTTTGAAATTCACGTGTCTCAAACAAACAATTACAAGAGACCATTAGAAAAAAGAGATTTTAATCCATTGAAATTTATGGGGTGAAGTGTTGTGTAGAAAAAATAAAATTTTTTTGAGTCGATGTTTTATATGTCATTAGTTTAATTTTCCTATTGTGAATAGGTTGATGCATGTATGATTAGGACTATGATTTATTATGAAATTGCTAAATAGGCTTAATGAATAGTTCGTGGCAGTTATGTAAGAATTAGGAATTAGGATTAAAGGGCGACAAAAGGAGATAAAGAACTTGCAAATTCAATTTGTATGGAAAAAGAGAAAATATTCTTGTAGGTCTTTATTTGGGAGAGACGTAACTTTCAAAGATGAAGTAGTTTTTATAACTTTCGAAGATGAAGTAGTTTTTATTTAATTTTGGATAATTACATTTTATTGTTCTAATTAGTATTATTGGTAAATATTAAATTTGGAAACTAGAAATAGGAATGGTGGTTTTGTATTATTGGTAAATATTAAATTTGGAAATTATAAATAGTAAGGGTGGTTTTGTATTAATAGGAAAAAATATAGGTGAGTTTCTATAATTATTGTTAGATTAGATCAAATGCTCTCTATAGAAAGTGCGGATAAATTTTCTTAATTCACTTAGATCACTAATATATTTTATTTGAACTGTTAGATGCAAATCACAAGTGCACAACGAAGTAAATTAGAAGCATTGCTTTGAGAGGTTGGGTATGAGTGGGGATTTTTTCTCTTATTATTTTCTTTGTTAGGAGTATAAGGTAAGTAGATTAGAGCACCCAATCTATTTTATTATTTTCATTTAATAATTTACCATTAACGGTGTTGAAATATTTTGTTCCCCTTAAATTATCTTTTCAAATACCTTGTATAGCAGTTTGTTGTACAAGATCTAACCCGCTTACAGCATAAGATCTTAGTCCACCCCATTTTGTCAAAGGTATTTTGGTCAATAAGAAAGAGAGGCATAACTTAACCGTTTGGGAGGAGGTACACCGCGTACGCTAGGGCACAAGCTTGATAAAAACCCTTTTATGTCATTCCAACTTTCGAACCAATTATTTTGGATACAACAGCCCATAATTATGCGAACCCCACGGATCTTTGTGTGTTATTGCACTGGATGGAAGTGATGTTAAGTTCGATTTGGAATGTAACCGCAACTTCCATATCCATTACCGAATACCTACTTATTTCTCTCTCTAATATGAGAAACCCCTGAAATAACGCTGCTTGCCTGCAAATTAAAATTCTCTCTCTCTAAGTCGCCATGGCCACCGTTTCTAGGACTCGCCGAACCGCCGACGCCCGATCTGGCGGAAAAATCGTCAGAGACAGGCGAATCGCCGCCGCGAAAACCCCCTACGACCGTCCCACGCTACCCACTCCTACTCAAAATCGTAATTGGCTCACCGGAGTGGTTTTTCCCGCAACTCGTATGATTGCCACCGGTGCCGGCAAACTTTTCTCCTTTGTCGCTGGAGCCGACTCTTCCTCGTCGTCTTCAGACAGCGATTCCGGTACGTATCTTTCTTCAAATTGGTTACTGTTTTTGAGGTGTCTTTTGGTTTCAACAACTTTGGAATTGGGAATTTTGTTCCATATATATACTTACGCGAACAAATTTATGTTGAAATCAAGGGTTGGGGAGAAGATGAATCTTTTTCGGGGTCATATTCCATGTTGAAGTCATGTTGTGTGTATCGACTTGTATATTGTATATATGTATGCACATATTGACCCCTTTTTGGAACGGCTTGGCACTTTGACATATCAAAATCCTAGTACAGCCTGATACCGGCTGAGTAAGGCCCGATGCCACCCCATCAATTAAAGTTGTTAGCTTGGTTTTGAACTCTGAAAATTTGTATTTTTAATGCCATAACCAATTGATGGTTTGAATTTGGATTTTATGTTAAAAGTTGATGCATCGAAGTCTTATCATTTACTGGACTAAGAGAGCGCTCTATGTGTTCCAAACATTTTGTTAATTTGGCTTCCTATATTTGAAAATTCCATCTAATATATATTTTTACAATTTTACCACGAAAGCTTTGCTGGAATGGTATGTCCTTCCCATTTTCAAAAGGGAGGCTGAGGGTTCAGCTTCCAGTGGAACATGACTAACGCTCACTTGTTAATATATATATTTCCCTCTCTAGAGTAGTTTGTTCTATGTAGACTGTCTTTGTAATTTGCCTCAATCCCCGATCGTGCACACACCATTACCCTTTCGCTGCCATTGTGAAAAAAAGGTTGAAGCAACTCTTTGATAATCTCCTTTTTGTATTAAGTCAACAACTGTTATATGTCGCTGAACCTATTTGGACCTTCATACACATATTGATAACCACCAAAATTTTTCAATATTTTCTTTGTCTTTTTAGCAGATCTTTTGTTCAAGCGTGGTTCAAAATTTCAGTCACAATTTCAGTCGATTATTGCGAAACTAAAATCAGTTTTAAATGTCCAAATCTTGGAGTTTTCCTAAGTAACCAAACAAAGCAGCTCTAGTATTTAAAATTACTAACATGTCACTTCACCGAAGAACAGTGATGCATTGAATTGTTAGGTACTTTTTTTCCCCTTCCCTTTTTGCTCTTAGACCACTAGGTTGTGGATCATGTGGCTGCTCAAATGGTATCAATGAAATAATTCTTCCATTCTTGATTCTTCTGTGCACATTACTTACATAAGTGGAACCATGTAATTTGCTTTTGATTCCATTAAAATATTTTAATGCAATGACAAAATGGCATTTTTTGCTTCCATCTCTCTTCAGTCTAACTTAAAGTTTCTATCTGAATGTACATTCAAAATCACTGTTTACATTAAGTGAAGAGGTATTTATATGATTTTTGAGTAGCTAGTGAAGCTGTAAAATTGAGATATACATGAAGAATCGGTTAATTGACTCTGATATTTGTGGAACTTGCATGGTTGCATGTAACTTTTATAGCCATTACATGGGCATTACTTGTGATGCTTCAACAAAGGAGAATATGAAGTTTTCTTCTGCTTTTGAGCTTTTCTAAATGTATTCACACTGGTAGTCTTTTTCTTATTTTGCAGAAGATGACGATGCTGACAATGACAATGATGAGCATCACATTCTTCCTGATGAGGCAGATGGATTGAATAAGGTAACTGTGCTACTTGTATTTTATTTTTTTAATTCTTGTTAGATGGATGTTTGCGACTTGGAAAATTAAGTGCAGTGCAACAGTAAAAAATTGAAGTGCCATATTGAATCCCTTTATTTTATTTTATTTTTAATTTTTAATTTTTTTTATCTAATTCAGTTTTTTGACCTCTTTACTTGATGGAGTCATGTGTGTCTGTTAAACACGTAGGTAATAAAGAATAATCGTGATTTTTTAACTTTCCAAAAGAGTGAGAAAATAAAGGATGTTTGCCAATAGTGCATTTCTAAATCTGCTTTTCAAAGCTTCTTGTTGCTTAAGGAGTTGGATCATCTTCAGTCTTTCGGGAATATTAGAAAGTGTGCATTGTTGTCAGCATCCATGCACAACTAAGTTCATTCCAAATTTGACATTGATATTACCTCATTATTTGACATACTTCACAAAGCACTTGTCATGACCACAAAAAATCCCAAATTTTTACCCTGATATGCTAAAAAAGGCCATTACTAGTGCAACTATTGTCTATGTGGGACGTTGGAAAGGGAAAACTGATGATAGATTAATCTTTGATATTATTTTACACAAAATGTCTGTTCTTAGATTTGAAACTGTGTCTATAAGCGCGCCAGCTTGAGCTTTTACCTTGATATGCTAGTATATGTATTTTGTGGCAATGAACAATCATAATACTATTGTGAGGCACCGGTGCTTGTTCGTTTTTGTGTCTTTGATTATTATGCACAAAAAATAAATTTTTTGGCATTGTTAAATTTTTGAAACTGACCGTCTATTATATCAGAAGAATGGAGCTTCATCACAAACAATCAAATGCTTTAGGAAGGAGCCACAAGTAACTGTTGGTAAGAGTGAAACCAAATGTGTAATTGAACGATTACTTATGCAGGAGACCTTTTCAAGGTAATTGAGAAAACTTTAGTCTCTTTTTCATTTTAAATTTTTTGGCTTATATTTCTCATTTAATTGTTGTTAGACTGCTTGGATTTTGTTTGTTTGTTGTAGCCTTTTTTTTTGGTCTAGAATTTTGTGTATATTATTGTGATAATCTATACATAAATTTATAACAAATGGAAGTATTTTTCTTAGTTGCTGCACCTAGCTTTCTTTGCCCCCTCCTTGCAGCAATTGTCGTGGTCTATGAAGCACGGACATGGGACACTGGTACGACATGACACGGATACGGTGATACGGCAAATTTTTAAAAAATAGGACACGGACACGGCAAGGATACAATAATAAAATAATATATATATATTTATTATATATACATTTTTATTTTTATTTAATTTTTTATTTATATTTAAATTAGGTTAACCAAATAATTCCCACTACTCTTAAAAAAATATAAAAATCATAAGTTCAAATTTTATTAAAATATAAATTTATATCCACGCTATCATTATAAGTTATAACCAAACATAACATATATGATTTTTAATTTATTTCTTTTTTTAACACACCTTTTAAGATGATAAGGCAAGAAATCACAATCCTATCCCATTTCTGATTTCTCTCTCCCTGCGTGGTTCACGTCTCTTCTGTCTTCATCATCTACTCCACCTCTCCCTTTCTCCGTCATTCAATCAAGCCAAGAGATCTGATGAAGCTTTGGATGGAAAATAAGAGGTTGTTCCTCTTGTTTGCCGGTAAAGCCAACTCCCACAGAAGATCTTGCTCTTTGTTCTTTGTTCTTTTTTTTTTTTTTTTTTCCCTGTGGTTACTCTGTCATTCCCTCAATCTCTTCATCTTTTTTAGATTTCTAGATCACTAGCATATATATATACACACACTATTACACACACATTCATTTTTCTTTTTCTTTTCAAAAAAAAAAAAAACCAAACAAGCGTGTCTCCGGCGTATCCTCAGCGTGTCGCCGACGTGTTTGGCATATCCTTTGCCATGTCCGACCTTGAAAAAAATAATAAAAAATTGGACACATGTTCGACATGTGTCCGTGTCGAACACGTGTCCGAGCACTGGCACGGCACCCCTTATGGGCGTGTCCGTGCTTCATAGGTCCTGGTTATTACCTTTAATCAACTTTTTCTGAATAATCCACTTTTTGATGAAACCTTTTTTTTAAAAACTCAAAACTGTATCCGTACTTACCTTTTTTGTTATTATTTTCCGTTAGATTTTATAGAAGTGCGAATTTACTTTGTTTTTTAAGTGACTAGTTAAGCCCTAAATCATATTTTGAAAGTTTATTAAGAATTTGATTAATATACAGTGTATTTCTATGTTTACAATATTCAAGCATTGATCCCTCATGGTGCGTTTTGGACTTCATATAAAGAATCGAAACTATGCAATGGTGGAAGTTTTTTTTTTTTTTTTTTTTTTGTATGTGTGTGTGATGCTCTTATGAGTTGAAGTCAAGAATGTTTTTGTTCACTGTGGTTTGCCTTCATAGTTCTATATTTGTCTTATTTTATGGGAATTTCTGTTGGATATGTAGGTTATGATATATGCTATCTTTTTTCTTTTGTTTTGACTTGTGCCATCTTGTGTGGATAAACAAATTTTTTAAAAACAAAATTTATATTATTCTGATAGATTGACTTTTTATGCTGGAGTCCTGATGAGCTGTAAGCAAAAGTCTTACTTTCTGAATTTCTGTTGAGTAATGGAAGGAGTGGGGGGTGCTGGTGGTAAAGTGGTGACTCTCTTATGATGCGTAACATAAAAAATAACTAAAATTGAGCAATCCAAATAGAAATGGCACACATTGGTCAAGGAATAATGTTTCCAACTGGCCAAGATATGGGTAGAGTGACGTTACAACATTACTAGTACAAACACAAAAGAAATCCTTTGAACCCATAAAGTTGAGGCCGTAAGAATCAGAAGGAATCCAAAAGTGAAGGAACAGAACATAAAGACTAGTCTCACTGTCTCTGACTGCCCTTAACTATAGGTCTAAACTTTGACCTAATTCACAAGTCAGCCCCTAATCTTGAAATGAGGGTTTTTACTTTGTCCATTAGTTTATATGACCAAATTGTATGGAGAAAAGGAAATGTATATCTGGCCTTAAGTTGTACTTTATTAAGATGGTGACTGGTGGATCCAATAGTTGAGATTATAGTTGATACCTGTTCTCCACTTCTGTTCCTTCTGTTTTTCTGTTTCATTTACATTTCTGTTCTGCCTGATGAATTAAGCAGATGGTACATTAATGTTCAAGTCTCTGTCTTTCTCTCTCCGTCTTTCTCATACACTCTCTACTTGTATGTTTTTTTGACTTAAATATTTTTTGAATAAATAATAGATTTTTAGTGACTCCAGAAGAGTGGTTTTGAAATTGGCCTTTGCTCATGTTTTAGTCTCTAGTGATAGCATTGTTATGCAGGAAACATTGAATTCCAAAGGGAACACTAAGATAAATTAACATTTATCGACAATTCTTATATGTTTTACACAGTGCATTCTCATTACTTTTAACCATGTAGGCAATAATCAGATTGGTTTACTCATTTCTTCTGACAAAGATAAATTTTTCTGCAGTTTTTTTCTTTTCTTAGCTACAATTTAACCTTTTAAGTTCTGAATTGGTGCTTACCTTTGACCAGGGAAGAATGCGATAGACTAATAAAGATTATTAATTCACGAGTTGTGGATTATTCCACCATAAAAGAGGGACAGAATGGTGAGATACCTAGCAGAACAATTGATAATGATATTGTTATTTAGGAACTTGAAAATTGAAGAGAGACTAGAAATCTACCTGTGCATGACTGACGGTGTTTATTAATACACAGATGTTCCTGATCTCTGCAGTAAAGCTGTTATGGAAGCAAAAAGATGGTTAGAGGAAAAGAAAGTGGGATCCAGTTCAAAATCAAACTTAGATCATGTAACCTTCACTTTTAATTCTGTTGAGCTGCAACCTGTTAGTAACTATTTCATGTCAATTTTTAACATTATATCTTACAGTTTTATTGCTAGAACATTTTTTCAATGTGTTGCACTAGGTTTCAAATGTATAGTGATATTTAGTTTCTTGGTTTTCTATCTCATCTTCGCCTGATCTTTGTGCCTTGGGGTAACTCTTTTTTGGTTTTCAATTGTAATTGCCTAGGTGACTTGCCTCATTGAGAACTTCCTTGTTGTCCACTCATACCATTTGTTTTAATTATTCGAAACCATCTCTCCTCCTTGTATGCTTATTGATAGGTTTTTTTTTCCATATTGTAAAGGCATGGCCACAATTGTCTTGCACACTTTAAATATAATTCTTCATCTCTCATCCATTAATGTACAGATATGCATGACATACTAGTAGGTTCGGTAATAAGCATCTTGGCACTCTAGAAATACAATTATTTAGTAGATGCATAGGTATGCATAAGACATCTGATCCTCCTCAAACCCCGCAATGGTGGGAGCTTCGTGCACTGGGCTAGCCCTTTTTAATCAATAGATTTTAGTAATGAACAGAGTCTTGCCTTGTTATCATCTTAGTCAAGTCATTAGTTTTTATGTATGTTCCTTTTGGTGCTTAGATGTGTTTAGGTCCTTTAGAACTGCCACAATTACAGGTGCTGAACAGCAATTGTAGTCATTTTTAAGCTTTTGGAAATTTGAATATTCGATTATTTTATGGATTATGAGTCGTAGAGGCTGACCTATTACCTATTGTTGTTGTTCATTAAAAGAGGAAAGTAGGAGAATATTATGGTAGTTCGTGGGTATGTTTATTATTGTTACTACAAATGCCACAAATCAAGAATCACGACAGAAAAGAAAACACGCCACACAAAAAGAACACGAAGATTTACGTGGTTCAGCAAAACCATCGTCTACGGTAAAGATTTGACGAAAGATTTCACTATGCAAAAAGTAGGAGATAAGAAGTTTCAGCTCCCAAACCCTAGCTCTCTCTCTCACTCTCTTTCTTGCGGTTTTCCGTGTTTTCTAGTTACGCAACCCAAACTATAGACACCCTTATATAGTGGCTACAAGAGAATTCTGTACCCTGGTCCACTACCCACAAGAGAAAATGGGTCAAAAAAAAAATCCACATTTTTTGGGTTGAAATAGGGTCATGTTGGCCGAAACAAAATTTGGGCCACAACATCACAATTATGTTATACATTTTTGGGAAGATTTTGATGCTGATGATGTGGACTCGAGTTTGTGTTACTCATCACAATTAACAAAAAATATGAGCAGCTGTCCATATGGACATGGTTCTTGAGTTATTAATGCATCCTAGGTGGGTTATAAAAAAACTTGCAAAATAAAGGAACAAAATTCTTCATGTAGACTGTGCTGCTTAAGTTATGACCACTTATTGGCTCCTTTTTATGAATTAGAAATATAAGGCAGGTAATTATCCTACTGATTTACAAGGAGGTTAAATTTAAATCTAGATCCATTTTCTTTCAAAACATGTGTGGTACTAACAGACATGGAACAGTTTCCTATTATGTTCAACTTAATTTGAATTGATAATTTTGACAGAATTTATTGCAGCTTGATCTATCTATCTATCTAGGGCTAAGTATCTAAAACACCCCTAAGGTTTACTTTTTGAGCAAATAACACCACCCTCTTTTACTTTGGGTATACAACTCCCTCAAGAATTTAAAAATGTTGTAAAGGAGGACTTCTCGGCTATTACCGTTAAAAATGTACAGTTAAAAAAACATGTGCCTGGCACGACTGATTAAATTTAATAAATACCAAAATTACGCTTTATTGATTCCCCAAACACCCTTCCCTTTTGTATATAAATCTCAAAAATAGTAATTTTTCATTAACTGAATTTTAAATTCTTATTGTAGGAAAGGCATTTAGTATTTTTACCACCCCATTAATGGCCAATTGGCGAGGTCCTTATTTGCCCCAACAATAAACGTTATGTGTTTTTTAGAACCTATATGTGGTTTATATGAGCTATATGCATACTAAAAGGGTGTTGAATGATCGCGAGCCATCTATCTATCTATCTATATATATATTTCTCCCCGAAAGTTAAAGCATACACACAGACAGCCACTGATAAGCCCCTAACGGGGCTCGAACTCTCAACCTCCCCTTTGGGGAGGAGAGATTATTCCATCCGGGTTCGTTCCCTTGTGGTATTGCAGCTTCATTTCTTCTCTCTCTTGAAGGACGTGGAAATTTGATTTTACTAGTTCTACGAAAAGTAATGTGGAGGTGGTTCACAATTGATGTCTTTTCGCTACATGATATTCAATGGTGAAACACAGATATCAACATACTTCACTTTCTAATAGAGAGCAACTATGCAGTCTCCTATAATTTTGATTACTCCAAAAGTAGACATTCTTGTTATCCTATAATGGTCTCATTAAAGCCAAACTTAAAGGAAGGTGTAAAGTGTAAACAATAATGCATCAGGGGCCTGTTATTTGTTATTGTCATATGCTAGAAAATTTATTCCACCAATGAATTTAGAAAATGAAATGAAAGAGAAAAAGCTGTTGTTGACCAGAAACCAGCTTAAAATGTGTTGAATTCTTTTATTTTATTTTATTTTATTTTTGTTACATTCAAGGAGCATGTAGCAGAGCAAAAAACATCTTTAATTTTCAATATAGAATAATTTATATGAAGTTATACATGGGGCCCTGCAGGTGGCAACCCACGTGTACAGGTTGTGTAAAAGGAAAGGGGAAATATATATATATTTTTTTTATACCAAAACCAAAATCAATATATTATCTATTAAGTTCATAAGGTATTCCAATTGGAGTTTTATCTACACACTCATACAACCAAAAAAAAAAAGGGCTTAAAGTTACTTCTTAATTCATGCTCTGGTTTATCCCCCCCCCTTTTTTTTTTTGGGCGCACAGCCGCACACGCTTGTGTATACTGTATACATTGGAGTATGGGAATACTCTAATCCTAAATTTATATTCCATCTATTCAACCTTACTTTGGCTTTTTTAAGAACCTTTACACCCAATATAATATTTTTAAATTTGTACTTGCCATATTTCTCCACTCTACTTACACATACTAAAGTTTGTTATCCACGCAATACATGCTCTTAAGACCTTATGTAAAGCATACTCCTGACTTAGCCTGGTGAGGCTTACAGCTGTCAGGACCATTGCTTACTTTGCTTGCCGCAAGAAGTTTTAAACCATATTCTTACTGAGTTGGGCCTGGAGGCAAAAACCAGACTCTTGGGACTTTAACTTTTCACTTCTTGAAGTAGAAGGTAACACCTTAGGTGCTTACTTTAAATCAAGATATTCTGGTGCAAGAGATACCTATGAATGTCTGATTTGGAATACTGTTTATTAACTTGGATTTTGTGAATGCTTTCTTATCTCTTATACTAGGTCGGGAGATTGTTAGAGATACCAGACTCCAGATTCATAAAACATAATGTTCAAACAGATTAGCATTTGTTTTCAGTCATAAATACAAATTAGTTTGTTAGTGCAGTAAGGAAAATAAATCATGCAAAATATCTAATAACATCATTACGTAGATTTTTTTTTTTTTTTTTTTTGTATAACATCACTACGTAGATAATCTGGTTTTTTATTTATTTTCATTTTTTTATACTTCATGTGTGCACTAGTTGACCCCGATTTTGGTGCTCTATATGCTTTTATTACTTATCAGTTAAATTACTTAATGTTATAATCTAATGTTATTGCCTTAGTGGTGCAAACATTTTTAATTGTGCTATCAAATAGAGCATAGTATGCTCAAGATTTTAGGAATTATTGCTGTATAAGTGTAATGTCAAGTTGATTGCATCACCATTCTGATTCAATCAATTTCAATGCAGGTTACTGAAGGTGAAGTGGGCTCACCAGTGGATGTGGCCAAATCATATATGCGCTCTCGCTCTCCATGGGTGTCTCCTATAAGCCATGTAGATTTAAAAACTCCATCACCAGTGGGGATAGAGCCTTCGAAGGAAGGAGCATCATTTCCAGTTGGCAATTCTTTCTCCTCATCAAAGGTGCTGTTTGGAATATTCATTTTCTATTTTGACATTATCGTTACCGTTGCTTCTTCTGTTACTCTTGTCCGTTTGAAAGACTAAAAGATCCCGCAAAATGGTGTTTCACCTTAAAATTGGGTGTTTCGTCTTGGTGAATACTTATGTAAGGTGACATTTTCTCTGGAGAGAAGTTTTGTGCAGGTTTTAAGAGAGAATCTGCTATTCCAGGATGATGAATTGATATTAGGCCGTAGAATTCATAAATAATAATAATAATAAAATGATGTGAATAAGGCCAGGGATAAGTTCCCCAGCTGACCAAGTTGTAGCTATCGACTAGTGTGTCAAGTATGGGATTACATGAAAAACAATGGGTTTTCATTTGGGTGTTTTTGCGCGTGTGTGTGGCAAACTCAGAGGAATGCCAGTCCTGTTGCAGTGTTGGGCATGTTGTATAGGTGTATGAACTATGGAAAAGAAATGGGCATATGAGATAGTATAAGACATCTGGTGGTCATTTGTTCTGGTGACTTTAAATTTAGTTCTGGTGACATTAAATTAAGGATGAAAGTAAAGACAAGGAACTATTAAAGTTTACTATTTTAACTCAACCAATGCTGATCCAAGTCATCAACCAATAAGGAAAAAATCTGAAAAGAAAAATATTAAATTCTTATTTATGAAACATATTGCTAAATGTCATTGAATTTTATGGAAATGATGTTTAATGTTCTTATTGATCTTATTGATCTTCTGGACCTGGTGGTCCTTTCAGGCGTTTATTGGCTAAAGGGGTGACTTGAAAAGGACTGGCGTATGCGTTATCCATTCTAGTATGTAGCAGAGAAATTTAATTGAAATTGGCTTATTGGAATTTCCCAATGAATCTCTTGCTATTCTTCAATAAATTAAATTCACACTTTGTCCACAACCAAGGATAAAAATATGTTTTTAAGTGTGTCAGAAATACCTTTCAGATATAAGATTAACTAACATAAAACCTGGACTTTGTCTTCTATACATTCTTTCTTGACAATAAATGATGATAATAACATCAAACAGTAATTCAAGCGAGGGCCTATTTTCACCATGACTTGATTAGATATGGCCGAACTGCCCATTATTGGGCTAGTTGGAGTGTCAATTAAGGACCCTTAAGAAAGGAGATCGAGGTTGTCTTAGGATCAAACTCTGGTGGGCCAGGGATTTTAATTTTTAGGGTTATTGATTGACAAGGTAAGATTAGGTTTGAGGGTGGATTTACACAACAACTGGTTCATGTTTGAGTCTGCTTTGGTTTGAAATTTTATGATGCAATTAAAAGGAATTCTGAACACAGTAAATTGTGTTAAAGGATTAATCGAAAGAGGTGGGGTAAATAATGCTAGGGTTTTTGGATCAAAGGGTTAGGGTTCGGGGATATATATAGCAACTAAGAAGTGTTTGTTTGTGGCTGTTGACTGTACACAGTAAGTATCTCCATGATCTTTTTGCTTGTTGTTTTCACTTCTCTGTCAGAGACTCAGAGAGCTGTCTTTCATGTAATCTATTGCTAACCTTTTTTTTCCTTTAGCTGATTCAATTCCTAAAATGCTCTTTAAGCTCTTGATGGTGCTCGACCACACGACGGGACTGACCCACGTTCTTCACAAATTACTCTTGTTCCTTTTATTACTACAAACCTCTTTCATTCTTTTTTTCATTCTTTTCCCCCCCTGTATATAAGATCCACAAACCTTTCATATTCTACTATTAAAGGCTGTCCTTTCAAAAAGCGAATTTGTTAATATTTTTCACTATTTTCTGAGCATCTATGGTTAAACGGAAAGAAAAATTATTTTATAAATACTACACACACACACACACATATCCACATCCACATCCGCATTTGTCATTTATCGTGTCTTTGTACTTATTACCTTGCGTTTCACGGCAAATATTGATGTAGGACAAACTTGAAAAACCTGAAAACCTCCCTGCAGTTCATTATCTAGTTGGTGTGGATGTTTGGTTATGTAAATAAATATTGCAGTGAGCTCTTAAGATTAAGGAATATCACCACTGTTTTCTGAACACGAGTAGTTTAAGGAAGGTATGTGATCTAGGAAAAAAGCAAGTGAAAAACTGGAATATGGCATGTTGCAATGAAAAACAAGAGATGGAAGAATATTTGGTTCTTCAATAAGAAGAGAGCAAGAAGAGTCCTGCTTCTTGATTTAGGGTCGTGTGGATTCTCAAAAAAAAAATAGGAGGTTTTAAACCTTTCTTCAGTTCATCTTATCAAATGAAAATATATTGTTTTACTTATGGCTTAGCTAAGGAGGTTCGTTAGATGCTCAGGAATTAAGAGCTGAGGAACTTAGGATACTAAACACCTAAGTAGCTAAGAAATTTTTTCTTTCACATGTTAGGTAATTGTCCTACTTACGAGTAGCTTGGTTAAGGAAGTTACTTCAGGAGTAAGTGGGTAACCTTAACATACCCTTATAAAGGCCATTATTCAATGTTAGTCCTGCCAATGCAACATGATGGAAAGGGTAGACTACAAACAGTCCTAGCCTTTAGCAATAATTTTGCACAAAGTGACTTCTCTCAAGCTTGGATCCATTTTTTTTTTTTTATAAAACTTAAAACACTTAGGACTTAAATGGGTGGAAGAAAGGTTGTAGGGTTTCGAGATGGAAAGAGGTTGAAATTTGCTTATTTTTAAAAGTGATAACTGTACCGGAATGTTAGAAAATGTGTTAACATTTCTGGAAACTAAATTTTTTAGGTTTTGTGTATTTGGTAAATGGCTTTATGATGCAGGAAAGTATTAGGGTCGGGAGTAGGCTTTTTGGTTGAATAATTAATGAAAATATGGGCAGGTTGTGACTAAATTGAAAAATATGCTTGTAGAGAGTAAAAGAAGAACCTGTTAGGCAACAGACGTAAGGTAAGGGTTGTAATTTAGGATCTCTTGGCTTTGATAAGTATCACACAATATCTTAGAGCTTCAATAAATGTTCAGTGAACTCTGAAGTGGTCTCCATTTTTAATTGACGAACTTAGGTATAAATTGGCTGCTAGACATCCCTTAAATTTGTTAGAACTATGACTCCAGATTAGAAACTTCAGACTTTTGTCTTATCATCCTCATCTAAACAACACTCACTTATATAAATAGACCCAAGATAAGACCTAGGGATACGACTACGATCAATCAGAGGGAAAAAAATTACCAAGTACACTTGATTTCTGTGACATAAGAAAACGTATATAAAGTAGTTATTAGAGTCTAGAGAACAAACAACTAATAGTTAGAAGGCATGAACTAAGACTCATAACTCAATTATATAAGGTCCCAATTGGCCCCTTATCAAACTTTAAGATGGATTATTATTATTATTTTTTATATATGTTTATATATGGGCCATATGGCACTATGTTCTTTTCTTATTGGTTTCGTGGTCTCTTAAATCTTGATCTTTTTAGGGCATGTACTTTGTAAAAGAACTTAGACCCTGCTGATTTTATTTTTTATGGTTTATTTGCTGCAACTTGAAACTGGCAGAAAAGGGATTCCCTTGCCACTGGGTCATGGAATATCCTGGAGGAAGTACGAAGAGTGCGTTCTAAGGCAACAGATGATATGCTACGGACTCTCCCATCCAGAAAAATTGATCTATCGTTATTTGCTCAAGAACCTAAAGCCAGCCAAAATTTTTTGGTGGCTGGTGAGACCGAAGCAGTTGTAGAAAATAAAATGCAAGAGTCAAATTCTTTAACAGCTGCAAAAACAATTGATGCATCTGCGAACTTGGCTGCAGGAGTTAGTATTAGCCATGTTGTTCCAGGTTGATTTTTATCTAGAGTAAAAATTTGCTATTTGTTCTCAATAATCTGCTGTATTTTTTTTTTTTTGACAGAATAGTTAGTCTGACTATCATAATCATTCAAAATTTTCAGAATATATGGAAACTAAAATGTTGAAATTCTAAGACATTGAACCCTGTTTTTTTCCTTTTTTTAGTTTCAGAGATGACACAAGATGGTTCACATAATAAAGCTTTGTCATCCAGTCCAGCTATTTTTGTTTCAGAACAAAATCAGGTACCTGATTGGTAGAACTAGATTTCATATATTTATTTATTTATTAACCTTTTAAAACAATGAGAATTTCTCACACTGGTTTGGTGGTTTTATATTTTTATTAAACCTTGTAACCATGTAAGACAGATATAAAAAGCTGCTTTCAGTGGTTTATGAACTTTATATTGTATGAAATTGATTTACACGTCTTACATGTTTCTCCTAAATGTTTCCTAAGGACATGGAAGCCAGTCCGACTATCAAGGGAGAAGGAGTTGATGCTTCCGAATCTCATCACTCAACAGTTCCAGATTTTGCTTCAAATCAACATAATGGTAATATTTCTATCATACTTTTGTTAGTCAATCTGCAGCTATTAATTATTCCATTTCATCTTGGGCAAAAAATTATTTTTTTCTATAACACTCATAATACTATATCTTATTTTATTATAAAAAAAAAAAAAAAAAAAAAAAAAAAAAAAAAAAAAAAAAAAAACTGTATCTTGCATTGTGCTTCAATGGGACTTTCAAGAATTTGTCTAGAGGCTTATGAGAGGAAGACAATATTCCAGTCATTGCCCGGAGTTTAAGATTGCAGTGTTCTTCTTTGTCTGGGGCCATAGTGCAGGCATCTAATATTTTGGCAAGGTTTTTCTGATCTGCAAGGGTCGGCTGTGGGAATAGCATGCGTGTTCATGGTGTAGGGGTGCCGCCTCTTTTCTAGGCCAAAAAGAATAAGATTTTTTTTTTCTGATACACGCGGAAAAGTTGGGGATATCAAATTTATTTTTTAACGGCGCCCTGTAATAGAAAACTGCTTTTACATGAGTACTTTAAATGTTTGGGGCCCTTCCCCCCCCCCCCCCCCCCCCCCCCCCCCCCCCCCCCCCCCGCCGCGGGAACTGCTTTTACATGAGTACTTTAAATGTTTGGGGCCCTTGGGCTCCATCAGCCCCAACCCCCCCCCCCGCGGGTTCTAATTAAATACTCACACGTGGTAGTTGGACACCGGATGACGTCGTATAACCGGTGTAACAATGTCTTTCTCCCCCCTCTCTCTCGCGCGCGCACATCAATATGAGAGTGACAAATAACTGCTTAAAGAAAAAAATGGATAACCTGTTTCATTTCTTTTCGGTATTATGTGGGTTCTTTATGACTATTCTGTGTGTGTGTGTGTGTGTTTTTGCTGTATTTGACTTTTTCTCTCTATTTGATTGTATCTACAGATTCAAGATCAAGTAATATAAATGGTTCTACAGCGAAAGAAGTGACTGAATTGAGAAGCACATCAAATGCTAATGGTTTCCCTTATTCAGAATTCAGGTGAACGGTGGCTGATTTATTCATTTTACATTTGTATTTGTTTTTAATTAAGGAAAAATAATATTGGGTTGTCTCGTTTAGTTTGTCTGCAGGATTGGATGCAGAAAAGGATCCTAGACCATCTGATAGTGAGAACCTAATTCCCGTTGATTCAAGCCACGACAAACTGAATACTAACATCCCTGTAGAAGAGACCTGTAAGCTTCTGAGTGAAACTTCGGTCGAGGTCCCAGTTGTAGATGAAACCAACATCATAGCTGGTGACTCTGAGAACAGTTCTAGCATGCACTATGAGGTGTTACCATCGAAACGGACTCGGCTGAATCCAACACGCAACTTGGCAGGCAAGAGACGCAATATGGTTGAGAAGCAAGAGGAAAAGAGATCGAACAGATACAACAGAAAGGAAAGGGGAAGGGGAAGGGGCAGGGGTAAATGATGCAAAAAAACTGTGTTGTGTAATGGATTATTTATGCTGTACAGTAGAGTGGAAGGGATCTTCCACCTTGTGCGGTTGTAGTCTGTAGTGAGAGTCATGTCTTTTCATTGTTCATTCAATTATCATTAGAATCATAGACTCTTAATGTACTTCTAGAGCTAACATTGTGTACTAGGCATGACACAGATTTTAATTTGCAAGGTAGGCCTTTTGATTTTTATTTATTTATTTTAAAGTAAATTTCGCAAAGAGAAGAGGGGTTCTAATTTCTGTTGGTGTGAAAGGAATGACTTTTGAGGGATCACAATAGATGAGTCGCAGCAGCTCTGGGTTGAGTCTTCTCAAGGTAGTGACAAGTGCAATTAGAGGAAGGGAGCCAAGCTTTGTGTTTTGTTCTTGAGGTCTTCAAGTCCTGGGAATCAACAACTAGCTGATTGCTACAATTGATTTTGGCGCTGAAACAAAAAGTGGTTGCTCTTGGGAGAAATAAATTAATTATTATACTCCTGAAAGTCAATAATTAAATTAGGGATCGCAACTTTGGTTTTTTCAAATAATGTGTTTGGTTAGTTATCTTATTGCACAAACAAGGATCCCGATGGTATTTTGAATTGACTTGATTTTCAAAAAGACAAAGAAGAAGAAGAAAATTATTAAAATATAAAAGGAAAGAAAAATGAAAGAACTTTAATAAGGAATAGTTAAAAAGTTTCAATTGAGGAAGAAAAATTTGACTTTTTCTACCAAGAAAATTTAAGGAATGTGAAGAAGAAAAAATAAGAATATAATTTTAGGAACTACAAATTTGAGGGTGCACTATATAATTTTTTTCATACATATAGAATTTTTTTTTAAAATTACTACATATATTATAGGTTGCTGACCAACTCAGGGGGCACGTGCCCCCCTAGGCCTTCATTGGCTCTGTCCCTGGTGACAAATATGCCCCTCAAATTGTACGGAAGATATTTTTGTTTAATATTTATGTGAACAGACAGTTATCTCCTTAATTTATTGCATTTTGTCAAATTAATTTTTTCAACACGTATTGGACAAGTTTTTTCATAGTAATTTGAAAATTTTTGCTATATTAGTGTTGATCGTCTTTAATTTTATGGGTTAGTCATAAAATAAAAAATAGGGGTTAAATAATCATCTCGACCCATGTTCTTCTTTCGTGGTTATTTTAGAAGAAAATAAAATAAAAAATAGAATAATTTAGTGATTAATTTGTTATTCTTCTCAATTTTTGATAGCTAGAAATTACTGTTGTAACCATCCTACACAAACACCGACTTATTTATGAGAGAGGAGCGGAGAGATTCTAGTGTTGTTAACGATATGGTCTGCTGAGTTAAACAAACAAACAAAGATAGTCCCCTGTTGTGATCTCTCTGTACACCCCCGATGGACGCTTACTCCTCCTTCTCTTCATCGGCGGCGATGGCCCAGCAAACGTGGGAGCTGGAGAACAACATCGTCACAATGGAGACGCCGCCCCCGTCGGACTCCGACGCCATCTTCTACTACGACGAGGCGGCTCAGGCCAAGTTCCAGCAGGAGAAACCCTGGGTTAACGACCCCCACTATTTCAAAAGGGTCAAGATCTCAGCCCTAGCACTCCTCAAGATGGTCGTGCACGCTCGCTCTGGTGGCACCATCGAGGTCATGGGCCTCATGCAGGGAAAGACCGACCGCGACGCCATCATCGTAATGGACGCGTTCGCGTTGCCCGTTGAAGGGACCGAAACTAGGGTTAATGCTCAGGCCGATGCGTACGAGTACATGGTCGATTACTCGCAGACCAACAAGCAGGTTTGTCATTAACCGTCGTATGTTGTAGTTCTGATTGGTTTTTTCTTGTCAAAAGTGGAAGGATGATTATAAGGGAGTGATGGTTTGATGTGGGATTTTTCATTTTTTGGGACCTTGGAAGACAAACATAGTAACCCTAATTGTGAATTTATAGTCTACATTGCTGAAAATCCTGATTCTGAGCCCTAATTTATGTCCTTTTTCCTCCTTATTGTTTTGGTAGTTTCGAGAGTTGTTTATTGCTTGAAGAGTTTTGTACTCGAAAGACTAACCTGAGATCTGTAATGTGCCCTTAATCCTTTTCGTGTTTATGTTTGTCTTAACCAGTTCTTGAATGTTGTATATCATGGAATGAAGGAAATGGGGGAAAATAAGAGAAGGAAAAAAGACCCGATTCTTAGAACAATGAATTTGCGTGAAGTTAGAAGCTCCTAGTACTTGGATGTCACATCTAACTTCTAATTGCCATATTTTAGGGATTCTTGTTTTTTTTATTGATAGTTGGTGGAGCCCGGACACTTATATCTATGATAACGAAACCTAAATTTTAGTAGATCTCGATTGATTATTTTTGTGCACACGCGTGTGGGAATTACTGTCGCATGTAATGAAGTTGAAGCAGCGGAAAGCTTACGCAAGTGCTAAATTTATTTGCATGCATGGTCCATTGGATGTCATATCTCTATTAACCTGATTCAAGTGACAACATCTATTAACCCTGAGTCAAGTGCCAATATCTACATTTAATCTTCTAGAAAGAAAATGTTAATGTCTCTGATAATTGTGTTCCCTGCTTGCACTTCTCTCTTACTCTTTGTTGTGAGACTATCCTAGTACATTTTCTTGTATCTTTAAAATCCCAACTTAAATACCAATTAGTTAACTATAATTTCCTTTAACTTATGTACAATTTATTTTACCACCATTTTCATATATCTAGACCTGTTTCTCATTGCTATCTTGCATTGGATATCATGTCATAATTAAAGTTGTAATTAAAATATGCTTTAACTTTTCATATGCATTTCTTCTACATTTTTGAGTTAATTCTTAGAATGTTGTGGTGTAGGCGGGAAGATTGGAAAATGTTGTTGGGTGGTACCATTCTCATCCTGGTTATGGATGCTGGCTTTCTGGCATTGATGTTTCAACTCAAATGCTCAATCAACAATTTCAGGAGCCATTTTTGGCAGTGGTTATTGATCCAACAAGAACTGTTTCTGCTGGAAAAGTTGAGATTGGGGCGTTCAGGACATACCCAGAAGGATATAAGCCTCCAGATGATCCTGTCTCTGAGTATCAGACCATCCCATTGAACAAGATTGAAGATTTTGGTGTGCATTGTAAACAGGTTATTATGATTTCACCATCTGCTTTCTTTAGGAACTGTTGGTGTTTCTTTTCCCCTTGTTAAGTAAATGCTCGCTGATACGTACGCACACACTTACATCCACTATGTCTACTGGGGACTTGAACCGTCAAGCTCCTATAAGGGAAGGATGATGATACACCACTTGAGCCAAAGGCCATGGTAGGAACTCTTAGTTCAGCATCCATTAACTTCTTTTCATCTGCATTTTTGCAGTATTATTCATTGGACATCACATATTTCAAGTCATCTCTTGATTGCCACCTCTTGGATCTACTATGGAATAAGTATTGGGTGAATACCCTTTCTTCTTCTCCTTTACTTGGTAATGGAGACTATGTTGCTGGACAAATTTCAGATCTGGGTAATTTCTTTGTTTTTTGTTATAAATGCTGTCATATTTTGTCCTGATTTTTCATAATAAGGAATTGGTGTAATTGTGTTCGTGAATTTGCATGAATATGAAATACCACTGTAGCTAATTCTTAATCACTGATTTAGATTAATTAATTTGCTTGTATCATGCAGCTGAAAAGCTGGAGCAAGCTGAAAATCAATTGGCTCATTCACGCCTTGGTCCCTTAATTGCACCCTCTCAAAGAAAGAAAGAGGTCAGTGAAGATCTGTCTTCGTCTTATTATGTCTCATATAAGTAGAACTTTTGAACTGTTTGAACCTCAATCACAGGATAATAGACCTCATATGGCTCTTTTTCTTGTCTCCTATACATATATATATATATATATTCCTCATGTCTTGCAATATTCTTAAGATTTCCGGACCTCATTGGCTTGTAATTACCATCTGACCCCACAAGATAAATGTCCACCGCTGATTTTGACTGGCATTTTAATTATGCACAACCAATTTCATGGGGCTTTTGAAGCTTTCTACAATTGTGCTTGGGAATCTTGGTAGATCTTTTTTCTACATCACTGAATGGTCTTGATATCTTAAAAATGCAGGCTTTTATGGAGATATGCCTTTGACCCTTTATAATCTTTGCTATTTAGAAAGTCTTAATGTGATATTATCTGGTCAGTCCTTGTAAGAATATTTTTTTTTTTTTGGGTTTCCTCCTAGTAGGCGCTGTTCTGATTATTGAATAATGGACCTCCCCAATTATATAAGTAACTTGAAATTTCCGAGGGTTCGACTTTTGATGGAAAAACATTTGGAACTCTTACCATCCCTTTACAGTACTGGATGAATTTTCATAGCCTAGAAATTGACATTGCTGCAAGTCTCTGCGTTTTATTTTCTCTTCTACTTATTAGGTTTGAATTTATTGAAGGGACAAGAAAGATCTAATTTGAGCTTGTGAGCGTCTTCATTTTTTTTTAGTCATGTAATCTACACAGGGTTATGCATGTACAGCTGCTATTTATAATCAAATGAACTAATCTGCCTTCTTTTTCTATATTAATTCTTTTTCAATTACATTATATATTCAGTATATAATACAAAAAAGAAAAAATTACTAGTATAAAATACTAAAAAAAATTCAGTGGGGGCAATTGCCTCCACTGAGTACACAGTAGGTCCGTGCATGGCGGTTAATCATGTACTTTGCTGGCGAATCTTCTGATACATGTTAGGGATATTGCTGTCATGGAAAGGGAGGGCGAGAGGACGAACATAGTGACCCACAAGACCACGTGTCGGAGACCTTGAGGTTTCAGCTTTGCAGAGTCGAGTAAGAGGTTTCCAGCTTTGATTTCGCAGTGAATGATGCCGTTTTGGTGGCAGAAGCGGGGAGGGTGAAACTGAGCGGCCGGTTAGGTGAGCCTGCCACGGTGGTCCATGACGAGGTAAAACCAATGCTTTAATAATTTCATCTTTAAAAAATTTTAAGTGTCACACGACGATGTGGTCGCTGTTGACGTCGACACAGAGGTACACTGTCCGAGCTTCGTTCGGGTTGGCCCTTCAGCAGGCCTAGATCCACCAAACCTGCCTGCTTGGCTCCACTTGCCGACAACAATGACCCAATCGATGAGTTCACCCACAATGGCAGCAGTAGGCATTCAGTCTTGGAGGTACATAATTTTCATGGATGTTGGGGTGGTTATTGAGGCGAAAATTTTTCCCGCGGCGCCCACCTCGGCCCAACGCCACAACAACCGCCGACACTGCCCCAGGGCACGACCTCGCCTCTGACCTCAGTTCCCTCCCCATCTTCGTTTACTTCTCCAAGACTCACCCGACGTGCTAGAATGCGTTGTATGCTTATCCGACAGCAATATGAAGCAAAAGAGTGTAATTGAGTTTAACGTATAATGGTGGTAGATTAGTCTAATTACAAAATAATTTATTTTAAAAAGGACATATACGTAATAAATCATCAAATGGTCACTTATTAGCATTTAAATTTTAAATTTGGTGACTATTCATTTTTTGTTGACTTTAGGTTCACTTCACAACAATTTTGCTTAGGTTTGGTAACTAAAATCTAATTTTCCCTTCATATATTATCCTATTGTTACAACACATGTATATATAGTTATGGTGAAATAATAAGAAAAGGAACGTACAACTAGTATGGAAAGAGTGTGAATATGGAAAGTATGTGTGTGCTGAGTATGGACAGCTCGTAATTAACTATCTCTACAAATCTAAAATTTATTTCTTATTCCAACCATGCTGTTGATTATAGAGTAATTAGGTTTCGCCTGCATTCCACTAAATATTATGTGTTGGCCGATTTGTATTGGTTTATGTATTATGAGTCTGATAGGGGAGAAAATCATTATGGACATTTTCCTCTACTTAATTTAGTGATTGGATCAAAAGATTCTAACCAAGACCTACGAATACTACCATACATGGGGCCTGTATGGGGCCATACATATTGGCATCGACCATTGTTTCTAAGTGAAACTGTAACGCTAGCATTTTGCCACCATGAGGTAAGGTGTAAACCTGATGACATTGATAGCCTTGCTATATTGTAAATCAATTATTGTAGTTTATTAGAATTAGTATTGGAGATACCAATTCTAAGGGTGGTAGCGTAAGCTAAAAAGTGTTCATGGAAAGGTGAGCCATTATCCTCAAGGAATATAGTTTTAGCCTTTTGACTATCTTATCTTTACATGTGCAATACTCATAAAATCATATAGTAAAATAGAGAAACGTAGTAACATGTAGCAAATAAATAAAGTAGCATATAATCTTTTTTTAGATCCTATGAGCAGGGATGGACCCAGAAACTATACAATATTATTCTTTACATTATTTTTAATATAAAAAGGAAAACTAAAAAAGTTGTATGAATAAAAACCATTTAATATAGTGGAATCAGTCATCACGATTGTGAATTTTTTTCGAACTTGCACATATGGTCCAAAATTTGTCGATACACAACTTATTACAACATAATCAAATATAGGTTTTTCATGAAATTTAGTGATTTTTATTGAATTTTTGAAGATCAATTAATATAAATAATGGCCTATACATGAATTCTAGGTCATCATGTTATTAAAGGTTTAGTAGTTTATACTATTTACAAAATTAGTGAATGTATTACTTTGTATGATTGGATATACTTATTTGGATACTGTATAAATAACATTGTTATATTGATTTTTTAATTACCTATTAGTGTATCAATTTGAATGAAATTAGTAATCCATGTTTCTATTACATTATCAAAACTCAAAAAATATTGTACTAATTTTTCATTAGTATATACTCATTATATAAGAGAATAGATTAAAGTTATAAATGTTGGAACTTCTAATTTATAAAATTTGGGATAAAGTGTTGAAGGGTATTTGAAATAAATAGTGAGTAAAGTAATTAAAAGTAAATTAAGTGGAAGAGTAAACTTAATGGAAAACATAAATTATTGGACAATTATAAGAAAAATGTATTTTTATGATAAATGATGTAATTTATACAAAGAATGTGGGGGTAAAAAGATAAAGTACAAAAGCTGAAAAGTTGCCTTTCCCAAAAAAGAGCTTGACAGTTGTGATAAGAAAAGATGTATCTTTCATTCTTTCTGTTGGCAATGAAAGATAAAACAAAAAGGGATTTGCAGAACAATCCAGAGCCCGTCAACGACCTGAAACGATCTCTACCATGTTTTTCGGGGGGCGAAAAGGATTCGGAAAAAAGAAAGATCAATTCATCAGTGATGGGAAGAACTCTTATGTTTCCTGAACTCCGGCAGAGACGGTTGCATGAAGGGATTTTCGGCTGCATCTCTAATAATGAAGGACTAAATTAGAGATAGTATTAGTTTTTCCCTCTCTTCTTCTTCTTCTCCTCCGGCCAATTCTGTGCCTGAACCGACTGGTTTGTTGCTGAAGCGACAGTTTCCGTTGTGAACTGGCCGATTTGCCTTGAACCGGCCGGTTCTGCTGGAAATCACTGATTTATAGGCGATTCGCCATTACAGACCGCGAGTTTCCCGTTGCAGCCGATTCGCTGAACCATGAGATATAAATGTGGACTTCCTAAAATAAAGCTTAAAAGATTCCAAGTTGAGATTATTTATTGACTTTGTGGGGGTTAGTAGGTTACTTGTTAATAAATTTTTTTCAACTATTTTTGGGCCCTGCAAAATAGAATTTTCAAAAATTTGGGAGGCCATGGCCCCCCTTAAGTCTCCACATCATGAGAGCATATTAACAAAGTCAAGCTAATGAAATAGTTAAGTCATTGTCACTGAATAGTATGTGAAGGTTGTAGCCTTGTAGGTTAAATTATAAAATAGTGCTGTAGTTCAATTGATAAACATACTTATAAAAAATAAAATTGAGAAACATAGTTGTTCTTTCCAGTGTTGGTCCTTCGTTGTGAGTTACATGGAGCAGTGGATTTGAGATATATGAAATTTTTAACATTATTTTAATCAAAATAGCCAATCTAGTGTTGGTGGTTCTTTTTTTTTAACCATTGCAGCAAGCTAAGAAGTACAAACACTTCTATAAGTAACCGCCACAACTGCCACTTCTATAAATAACCGCTTCTATGTTAGGCATGTGTTCAACATCCACATTTCTCGGACACTTACCAACAAAACGTTAAATTGCCCTATTTTTACTTTCTGAAATAATTTCTTGAACCTATATATATTTGCTGTGGGCATGATGTATGGGTGTAAATTGGGAACCAAGTTGTGGTGATTTGCTGGGAGTAGAAAAAATTTCATCTGAATGTGGCAAGCCAATAGATTTCTTCTTTCACAAGCTTTTCTATTTATCTCGTCTCCTCTTGTGGAAATAAATAGAATAGAAGAGAGAATGCTTAAGCAAATACTCTTCTTCCGGTCTTTGAGGGATGTTTGTGGAACATGTGAACATTTCTCTTATATTTGATGAGGAAATCTTGGCTGTTGCCAATGGACCTTACCCCCCTCTCATTGAGCCTTTTCGCGTGAATATTTCTAATCATCTTACTGGGATGATTCCAGCTTCGTTGGCAGTGTTTGAGTGCTTGATTGGTGATGGTGGTTGTCCAGCTACTCTTATATCAGATGAGGAAATTTTGGCTGTTGCCAATGGACCTTAACCCCCCTCCCATTGAGCCTTTTCACGTCAATATTTCTAATCTTGCCGGGATGATTCCAGCTTTGGTGGCTGTGTTTGAGTGCTTGATTGGTGATGGTGGTTGCCCTGCTGCTCTTTGGTTCGCGAGAAGATTTAATCCGTCTGGTCAAGAGCTTCATTACGATCCCTTTGATTGAGTTCTGATCGGCGAGGCGATCTTCTCGATTTATGCTTTTACGACGGAGGAATGCAAGAAAAAAAGCATGTCCATATTGATACACGGTGGAAGTATTACTATGTCTAGCCTGGAAATCACATGCATAATTTTGCCTATTGTTTGTCTACCAAGCTTGCATTATGCTATTTACCAAATTTGTTAAAAAATATTTACAGGAAAAGAGAGCTTGCATTATGCTGTTCTTCTAGAGTTTTTTAGGTTTTTCTTCCATACTTCTGGAAGTTAATTTGTCCAACAAATAGAATCATGCGAGTCCTATTTGCAACTTTTACTTTGTTTATATTATTGTTACCAAATCATTTATTGCTATATGATTTTGTTCTTTCCTTTCCTCATGAGCATCTACAAGGCTATTTTTATACAGATACATATATAAAGTGGTTACTTGAATTCAATAGACCAATACTCGAGTTTGATACTCTCTTCTATGAATTGTAGGATGAATCTCAACTTGCTAAGATCACTCGTGATAGTGCAAAGATAACGGTTGAGCAGGTTCATGGTTTGATGTCCCAGGTGAGTGATTGTATTTCTTTATATATTATTTTCTTCTCATGTAGTGTGTTTTTTTAGGCTGTAAAGGGATGTTTTGCATTATGCTGACACATTTTCCCCCTCCTTTAGGTTATAAAGGACATTCTTTTCAACTCTGTCCGTCAGTCCAGCAGCAGGTCTAAGACAGAATCATCTGGTCCTGAACCCATGATTGAAACATGATGATTGCCTCATAGCATTGAGGGATTATAAATGCCTTACCTACCTCATGTTAGTTAAATTTTCTCTAAGCTAAAGGATTATTGAAGTTTTGTTTATCTTTATGATAATGTAAATCTTTTGGTTGATCGTTGTTGACTTATCATGGAGTTTTAGATATGGTTTTGGTATTAATACAACAATTCAAACTTGTTCACAAGGTGATAGTAATCAGCTACTTGGTGTGTTGATAGGGAGGAAAATGGAAGGAAGAGGAGGGAAGGAAATGGGGGGAGGGATGCAAGTTATTTTCTTTGGTGGGAGAAGAGTGAAGGGAGCCTGTGTGTGTGTGTTGTTGGGGGTTGTTGGAGGAGGATATACCTTATCTTCATTGTTTCTTGCTTTTTCATTCGATCAAATTACAGCAAGGGCGCATTTTCCTTAAGAAATATATCCAGTTCTGGTCTTAGTGGTTTTGGTGTGGCATTCGTCCTAGTTTTTACATTGCCCGGACTGCTAACTCTAGTGACCAAAATAGCAATGATTTTACTTGTATTCCTACGACAGCCCTAGTTGTTACACTGATATCTAGTGAACAATTTGCATGAGTAGAGGGAGCCTGGTAGAGGGTTTCAATCTTTTATTAGGGGAAAAGGAAATCACCTTACTGGTTTAGATGAATTTTATCATCTTAATTTTTAAGATGGATCAATGATAAATTTGTAATTTTACATTCAATCACGCCTTGAGTTTCTTTTTCACTTGGCATTTTTTTCGATTACAGATAGCTTCTTTATTTTTGTCACTTCCGTCTCTACATCTTTAATTTTAGAAAGTGGAAATGTTGACAACTTTTAGTTGTTAATGGGACATTATTAGTTCATCCTTTTTAGGTCACAAGTTCATAACCCTAATAATGCCTTGATAGTATATTGAAGGAAAATAATTTTTGCACCAATTAGTAGTGAATTGTTAGATTTACTGTTTTGAATTGGTTATTTATGCAACAAATAAGGGAGTGAAGTTTTTCACATGTATTTTAGCATAAATAACCAATCAAAAATCATTTGGTTAGGCAATTTATTGGAACTTTTCAGTTAGAGTATCACTATTATATATTGAAAGACACGAAAAGGTATTCTATATTGAAAGAAGAGAGGAATAATGAAACATGCTTCTAGGGCAAAAGGGTTGCAGCATTCATCGAAAGAAAAATTGCTCCATATATCTACATGGAATGTCATTCTTACCCCTCAATTATTTACCAAATCATTAATATTTACTTTTAACTAGTTTATATAATGTGGTGTAATTCTAATTTTCTTTATATATATATATATATATATATATATATATAAAGTCTCACCTATCAATCAAAGGAAGAAAGGTGTCACCAAATAAAAAGTGAGGGAGACACGTTCCTTCTCCAAGCACGCTTCATCCATTTTTGCCCCTCACACTCATCCATTTTTTAATCCATCTGAGCATAAAACTCAGAAACACTCCCTACCACCAATAAATTTGAACACAAGGTACATGTGCATGTTATTTAAAATATATATAAATGAATGGTTGACAAGGGTGGTTGAAGGAAAAATGGATCCTCCGTAGAAAGAAAGGTGACAACAACAAATATAAGAACAAACTTAACATAGAGAGGTCCATTGGTGGGCAGATAAAGACAGCCTAAATGGTGGTGCTATTCACATGCAAAGAAGCATAGCCCGTGACTGTGAAGGTTGTAGTACTGCATCATCATTTTAGATGCCAATATGTGAGGCCCTTAAAAGAGAAGAAACCTACCCTTATCATACCTGTCACCATTCCACTTCATAGAGAGAAAAGGGCACCAGATCTTTCTTTTTTAAAATTGATGCAGTGGGTCTTTCTTTCTAGAGATCATGCCATTCGTGACTCTTTTCTTATCTCAACCCCCCCACCCCCACTATTTGGTAGTTTAGATTAGATTCTTTCAAGCATCCATAGAGTAAAGTGTTCACAAGAATTGGGTCACTTCATGAGGCATACACTCTTTGATGTATTGCTTTATTAAGTACTTTTCATAACTTCACATGAGACACTTACCTTCCACAAATCTCTCTACTCAAGCTTTGTGGTGCCCCTAATTAATTCCTACTTGTAAACATGTGACTGCTTTGCTACATACATCTCAAGGGCTTTCTACCTATATCAAACCCATTGCCCATCACTCTTTGATTTGATTTATTTCTACTTCTATTTATATCTTTTTCACACTTTATGTGGCATCTTTTAGTCTGCATTCACAATTAATTCTAAATTATATATCTTATTATCATGGTCTTGAAGCTATTAAGGAAGAATATATACCTTTGAGGGAAAAGACATTACTTAGGTCCTCACCGCCCTCAATGTTGATGTGGATTAATAATAAATAAATACGTCTTTTTTAGTCATCAAATTAGAAATGGTGGGAATACATACGTCTTCTTTAGATTCTGCCATATAACTACTTTTAAGCACAACTATGGGAAAAATTAATTGGTACTACAATTTAAATAGTACCTAAGCAAAGACTGTGTCCTTGAAATTTTTTAAGTGTGGTAGTATATGAGATTTTTTCTCTAAATTTAGAGTGCACCGACTGAGTGTTGTGTGAGTGAAGATCTGAATCTCACCACATGACAACATGATGATTTAATCTCATGTAGTGAGATTCATACCTCCACTCATACATTTCCTATTTGGGCATCCTTCAAATTCCAAAAAATTATCATTTTTTTTTTTTTTTTTTAGAGATAATCTTCTGATATAATAGAGCTATATTTTTTAATCTGAAAACTATGGTTCACAATTAAATAAAGGCTATAGTTACTTTTGTTTGATGGCAACTACTTGTCTGGCATCACCAAATGAACAATAGCCGGCAGGTACAAACTTTACTTTCCAAAGGAAATATTAGGTGTTTGAGACTCAGTGGATGCATCCGTGTATGTTTGCTTTAAACCCGTTTTTTATTTTTTATTTTATTTTTATTCCTTCCAGTTCATCAATTATCTGTCAAAGAGATGAAAAGGATCCATCAGTGTCATATATGGACCATGTATTTTCAATTCTAATACCAATAGTAATGACCATTATTATGTACAGTTAATTTTCTAAGTGGGAGAATAATTCTAGCTTCACATGGTTGCTGGATTAATAACCATCTAACATGACCAACTGATGTAGGACGGAAATGCTATGACAGCAACTGATAATGCAGGATCAAATAGAGAGAAGAAACGAATAAAAGAAGAAGAGTGGAAAGAGCGAGGGAAAGGAATTGAAGCAGAGGAAAGAAGAGTGGAAAGAGGGAGGGAAAGGAATTGAAGCAGAGGAAAGAAGAGTGGAAGCCAACAATCTCACTTTTATTAAGTCTTCACTTTGATAAACAACACCAATCCTGCTATTAGAAGAACCTTACAAAAATGCAAATTCTAGAGAAATAAATATAAAAAATATAATTACTAAAATAAAATACCAAAGATTATCACTAGAAACAAGGAGATTAGAATTAGTAACCTTCATTCCTTATTTTCTGTTGTAATTTCTGTCGTTTTAAATGCATATCCCATACCTTCCGGGAGAACAAAAAATGCTTATCACATGCATGAAACACATATCCATAATTTTAGGATTTTCACATAAAGGAGTCCATTAATCTGCCTACATTAAATTCAGTGTGTGACATTTAATAGGGAGAGAATAGTCAAATGACAACAATTATTATTATTATTTTTTCAATTTATTGCATTATAGTAGTATATAATATACTGGGTCATCCATATTAACTACTGATGTGGTCCAATCATAATAATTGCAAAATCAGAAAAGTGATAAATAAGGAATTCAGAAAGAATGACTGAATTTATTCAAAAAAAATAAAATAAAAAAAAACAACTGTTCTTATTTATTACTTTCTTGATTTTACAATCTCAAACTATGTGTATATTTATAATTAAACCGTAAACAAGTGGTGAATATATATATATAACTTACTCACCATAAGTAGGCCTCTTACCAACAATTAGAAGGCTTCCAAAAGACATGCCTAAGTTTTAGAGAATCTTCTTAATTACTGTATTTGGTACAATGATAGACAATACTAAAAAGCATTGGTGCACAATCAAATGGAGGCAGACCTATATTGATGTTCAATAGCCAATATTCCTCTGGCGTCTTCGTCCTTCTTCTCCATCTACTTCTGCGTTCATTCGTGTTCATATATTAGGTCAAAAAGGTCCTTTGAAGAGACCCCAAAAAGATTTGGTGTGCCCACCAAAAAACAAACCAATATGTCATGGACCATTTTCATTTATGGTACTTGCAAATAGTCATGACCCATTATATATAAAATTATTAACATCATGGGTTGTTAAAATTGAAACCATCATCTATAACATGACAATTCATATTCCTTCATTCACATGTGGTGTGACATTAATTAAAGTTACATGTCTGTGTCAAATCACTTGTTTTATGGATTTTGGGACACGAAATTAACAATCCTTGTCATTGTCCAACCTCAAATAGGTTAACAACCATTTAGTGACCGTTGATTCACATCTGTCTTTCGAAGTTTTTTTTTTTTTAGTGATTGGGTAAAAATTAATCACAATACAGGTCTTGTAATTAATTTTTTTTCAATATCTAAAAGTCCCGAATTTACATTATAAAAGTACTAAACAAGCTGGTACAGTTTGGAGGCAAAATGTCCACAAGTTTCCCTATTTGCATCCAAATTGGTTCATTGTAAATAATTTTACTTTTGTTGGCAACCAAAAGTGATCAGAAAAATATTATCAAGGGTAGCAAAATGGGTCATGACACAACTCGTTCATATCCATCCATTTAAAAATGAATATGAATGAATCATTTTAAAATATGAATCAAAATGAGTAACTCATATTCAACCCATTTATATAGAGGATTAAATAGATTGAATATGGGTCAAAATGAGTGATCCATATTTCACCCATTATATAAGAGACCCAGTTTTACATCATCTATTTGACTCAAATTCATCTCTTCTTACTCTCTAAAATTCTTTCCCCGATCCCAAATTCTCTCTCTCCCACTCTCCCTTTCTCAAATTTTCTCTAAGATTCTCTCTTATCATTCTTTTTCTCTCTAAAATTCTTTGTAATACTATAGTATTGCTTTGCTATATCCACGACGTGTGTATTATATATATAGGAA